CATTTACAGTTGCACCAGAAACAGTAGAATATCTAGGAATAAACTTAACCAAAGAGGTGAAAGACCTGTACCCTGAAAACTATGAAAAACTGATGAATGAAATTGAAGATGGTGCAAAGAAATAGAAAGACACTCCATGCTCAGGTTGGAAGAACAAATATTGTTCAAATGTCTATACTACCCAAAGCAATCTGCAGATTTAATGTAGCTATTATCAAAAATACCAACAGCATTTTTCGCAGAACTGGAACAAACAGTCCTAAAATTTGGATGTAACCACAAAAGACCCCAAGACAGCTAAAGCAATCTTTTTCAAGATTTCAAAACATAATTGGGGTATCACAATTCTAGTCTTCCAAGTTATATTACAAAGCTGTAGTAATCAGTGTGGTACTGGCACAAAAATAGACACATAGGTCAGTGGAACAGAATAGAGAGCCCAGAAATAAACCCACAGTTACATGGTCAATTAATCTTCAACTAAGGCGGAAAGAATATGCAATGGGAGAAAGGCAGTCTCTTCAGCAAATAGTGTGGGAAAACGACAGCAATATGCAAAAGAATGAAACTGTACCACTTTCTTTACCATACACAAAAATAAACTCAAAATGGATTAAAGATCGAAGTGTGAGACCTGACCTCATAAAAACTTGAGAAGAGAGCACAGGCAGTAGTTTCTCTGACATCAGCTGTAGCAACATTTTTTTCTAGGCAAGGGAAATAAAAGCAAAAATAAACTATTAGGGCCACGTCAAAATAAAAAGCTTCTGCACAATGAAGAAAACTAAAAGCCTACTGAATGGGAGAAGACATTTGCAAATGACATATCCAACGAAGGGTTAGTTTCCAAAATATATAAAGAACTTACACATCTCAACACTCCAAAACAAATAATCCAGTTAAAAAATAGACATGAAAAAACATTTCTCCAAAGAAGACCTACAGATGGCCAACAGACATATGAAAAGATGCTCAACCTCACTGATCATCAGGGAAATGCAGATCAAAACTGTAATGAGATGTCACCTCACACCTGTTACAATGGCTAAAATCAAAAACACAAGAAACCACAAGTGTTGGTGAGGATGTGGAGAAAAAGGAGCCCTCTTGTACTGGTATAGCCACTCTGGAAGACAGTATGGAGGATCCTCAGAAATTTAAAAATAAAACTACCCTATGATCCAATAATCACACTACTGGTTGTTTACCCAAAGAGTGTGAAAATAATAATTCAGAGGGACACATTCACCCCCATGTTTATTGCATATACAATAAATGTATCTTTATTTACAGTAGCCAAATTGCAGAAGTAGCCCAAGGATGGATCTTAGTCCATCCTTGAATGAATGGATAAAGAAGATGTGGTGTATATATACAGTGGAATATTATTCAGCCATAAAAAATGAAACCTTGCCATTTGCTTGCAGTGACATGATTGGAGCTAGAGAGTATAATGTTAAGTGAAATAAGTCATTCAGAGAAAGACAGATACCATATGATTTCACTCGTGGAATTTAAGAAACAAATGAGCCAAGGCAAAAAAAAAAAAAAAAAAAAAAAAAAAAAAAAAAAAAAAAAAAAAAAAAAAAAAAAAACAAAAAAACAAGGAACAGATTCTTGACTGTAGAGAACAAACTGATTAATGATCAAAGGGGAGATGGGGGGGATGGGGATTACAGAGTACACTTACCATGATGAGCATTGAGTAATGTATAGAATTGTTGAAACACCATGTTGTACACTTGAACTTAATATTATACTCTGTTGTTAACTATACTGGAATTAAAATTAAAAACCTAATAAAAAGACTGAATAAAGAGGAGCTAGGCTTTTTTCTTCAGAAAAGTGGGAAATGCAAAGAAGGAAACAATTACTAGTATTTATCTACTGTGGTAAGTGTCTTACATTTAATGACTGGTATAATCCTGACAGCAGCTTTGTATGGTATGTAGCATAGATGCCATTTTAAAGATGGACAGACCAAAGTGTTTCTACTAGTAGGAGCAGAGCCAGAATTCAGAATTGAAATTCATGCCCTGTGCTTTCTTACTCTGTGAAAGAGTGATACTTTCCATAGGCCAACAGAGAAAAACAGGACCCTAGTACCCTATCCTAGGGTACTAGTAGGACTGCTCATACAAAAGATTAAAGCAGAAAAGTAGAGATATTGAGGAGCAAAGCATTGTATTCCAAAAAGGACTTCAGAGCAAGGGTTTGCAGATGAACTTAGGACTCTGAAAACAGTGTAGCCAAGAAAATTAAAGCACTGAAGGCTATTCCATGAATACAGAATAATATTCTGACATTTTTTGTTTTTAAATTTTTGCTTCCTAGTATTAAAACCTTGTAAAGAGAAATTAAGAAGCTGAAAATATATTAATATTTAAGAAAGTAGAACATAAATGGGCAAAGAACATGAGGATAGAATTCACTAAAGATCATATACTTTTAGTAAACACTTGCAATTTATTCAATCTTAATAATATTTAAAAATATACCTGGAGATATTTCTGTTGTTCAGTTTGGCAGAAGCATTTTAAAAGCAGTAGTTTGTACGCTTTACACAGGTTATGCTCAGTTAAAACTTTACTTGGATGTTCCAATAGAAACATGTTTTAGAGAGCAATTTTATAATGTATACTAACATGACATTGTCATTGAATTCAAGATCTTTACTGAAAATGTTTCCTAGGCAAACAACATAGAATTAGAGAAAAAAATGCTGCATATGAACTTCTCCATATGTGTGTGTGTTGTGTGTGTGTGTGTGTGTGTGTGTATACACACCCACCCACCCACCCCTTAAGTTTACGTTTAGGGCATATAAAAGATTTCTCAACGGTAGATACCTGGAGTCTTAAAAGTGGTATTTGAAGTGATACATGTGATACATTACTCAGCTTTTATTAATAAGGGGTGGGTTGATTGGATAGTTGGTTGGACAGATAGGAAGGAGGGAGGAAGGCAGGCAAGGAGGTCAGTCTTCTTAAAAACAGAGGTTTGCAGGGTGCATGGGTGGCTGAGTCAGTTTCGTGTCCAACTTTGCTCAGGTCATGATCTTGAGGTCTATGAGTTTGAGCGCTGCGTCAGACTCTGTGCTGACAGTTCAGAGTCTGGAGCCTGCTTTGGATTCTCTGTCTCCCTTTCTCTCTGCCCCTTCCCCATTCATGCTTTGTCTCTCTTTCTCAAAAAAAAAAAAAAGAACAAACATAAAAATTTTTATAAGTTTGCAGCTACTGAAAATTTTAATTGTAGCCACATAGAAAATCATTATAGTTTTATAGTATAATATTAAGTGAGCAACAGGATAGAAATTCCTTGTACTTTGTAAGGATTAGATGTAGCACTTCAATTTGGAGTAACATGAAAATGCAATGCATATGAAAACTTAATTGAAAGAAATATATATGATTTTTCCCTATGATGTACTTTTATATAACTACTAAAAATTACATGAACTATTAGATTTTTGAAGGAATAAATTTTAACCTGATAATAACGAAATGCAGTATGGGTCTGTAATACTTTGTTATAAAGTTCTGAGGTAAGCCTGTCTATCCAGGGTCTGTAATATTATGCTACAGACATACCGTCATTCACTTTTTAGGAGCTATCTTAAGTTTACATTTGGGGCATAACTGTACATCTGTTTTTGAATTCCTTAATTTAGTAACAGGTAAAACTTGATGGTAATATTTTTTCTGTTAAAATTATTTTACTGTGTCCATATAGTTTTAGTGTGTGTGTGTTTCTGGGTGAAGAGTTAACACAATTCTTTTTCTGCATGAAACTTTGATCTTTGCTTAACTCTCTAGCTCTCTTTCCTTGAAAACATGTAAAATTTGGAATGTCATCTGTGTTTAGTGGGCAACATTGCTTTTATAGTAAAAATTCTGGGTCTGGACGGGGGAACTAATACTTGATGGAAGGCATAACTTTGGGCATCCTTGAATTCAAGACTTTTTTTTAAAGTTTTTCATTTTTGAGAGAGTGAGTGTACATGAGTGTGCAAGCAGGGGAGGGGCAGAGAAAGAGGGAGAGAGAGAATCCCAAGTAGGCTCCATGCTGTCAGCATAGAGCCCGTTGCAGGGCTCAGTCTCACAACCGCAAGATCACAACCTGAGCTGAAATCCAGAGTCGGACGCTCAGCTGACTGAGCCACCTAGGTGCTCTGAATTTAGGACTTTTATAGTATGCATGACCACTGTGGGGTATGGAGTTTTGATTCCAGAGTGCCCCCCAAATATGTCCCATATGGATCTCATCTCCTTATGCCTGAACTGTTAGACTGCTTCAGGGACTTGGCAGAAGAAAAACATTTGATGCTGCTCTGGCAAACTTAGTTCATCACCTTACATCCTACTGAGCAGTACCAGTGGGAGCTCAGATGGTCTGTGGGTCTGCATGTTTAGTTCATCCCAGGACCCCTCTTGTGTACTCTAGTAGTATAAAACTACAGTTTTTAATTTTCAAACAGAGAAAAATGGTATTTTAGCTTCATATTAGTTAATTCATTTAGTTTTAGCAGTATTTTGAGAACGTTAAGACTATGAGTCAGGACACATGGCTTTCTGTGTCCTAGGTTTTTAATAATGGATTATATTACCTTGGGAAGTCAATCTCTGAAACTCAGTTTCTTAAGTGGTAGATAAGAAATTTGACCAGTGTCATTTCTCATATTCTTTACAACTCTAAATCCTATAGTTCTTTTATTTCTTATCATATGTTAATTTTTAATCCTCTTTTATGGGGGCATTCCACATTTTTAGCCTGGCAGGTGATCAGATGGCTGAAAGCCTAAGGTGCTGTAGTGTACATGCTTTCAAATTTTGATTTTGGAACCAAGTTGTCAGATTATGGCCATATAGTTCCAAAAGAAATATTTATTGCCTTTACAATAGAATTTAATTTAAATTAAAAATACTTTAGGAACTTTGGGAGGAGAAAACAGTGGATGTTTGGGAAGCTTTTGATTGTTTCATCTCAACTTTCATTTATAGGTTGTGAACTGGCTTGAAGGGCCTGGATCAGAACAACTACGAGCCCAGTGGGGGATTGGAGACTCCATCCGGGCCTCCCAGGCACTGCAGCAAAAGCACGAGGAGATCGAGAGTCAGCACAGTGTGAGTGCTTTTCCTCTGCAAGTTACAGTGCTGTGATTACTGTGCATAATCAGCATATGTGGTACTAAGAGATAAGTTGCTGTAAACTTTAGCACAGGACATAAAGTATAGTATGTTTAATATTCAGAGGCCATAAGGTACATTTTGACTCCTTACTATGTATTCATTGGAAGTTTGGTTTTGCGTTTGGCTCCAATCCAGTTTAATTGTATATTTTTATAGAAACATAATTCATGTGAAAATTTTTTAATTCATGGGAAATTTAAAAAATTACAGTGACAGAATAAAGAGTAGTAGTACAAAAACAGAATCTTCATCTGTAGTCCTGCGACAGAAACTATGATCCTTAAATCCTCAGGGAGGCTGTCCCTGTCTTATTAGGGTATATACAGTGCAATTAATGCCTGAGAGTAATTCCAGAATTGTTGCATTAGTCACAACTGATGGAAAATGATTGCAGAGGGTACAGGATATCTTTCCATTCTTTGTGCGTTCAGAGGCTCTCGTTTGTATCTGTGAAGGGGATGATCAAACAAATCAGTTATACAATTAGCAAATAATCTATAGGCAGATTATAGATAATAATTGTTCAAAAGGGTTTAAAATTGAACAACTTGTATATGGAGGAAGTTGATATATGTTAAGCCCCTGCTTTGTTAGAGTTAGCTCTTCATTACTGAGAAAGTGATCATTCAGTTGTGGATCAATTAGCTCACCCCTTTTTTCCCTCAAATTGTATTTCTTATGGTACTTTCGATAGATTGACTAGAAAATTGGAAAAATAAACTGAAATACATTAATTTCTACTTTTGTAGGTTATGTAGCTTAAATTGATTAGTTTGCGCGCGCACACACACACACACACACACACACACACACACAGTATTCAACCTTACATATAATATGAAGAATAAAACATCTTTCCGTTAAATAGGTAATAAAAGAAGCCAGCACCCCCCCCCAACCAACGTCCCCAAAAAGACAAATCCAAGTGATCAGCATACACTCTGATTGGATTTATGTGTTAATTGGAAAAAAGGTCATGTGTTCAGGGGTGACTATAGCGTGCATCCTGATCACTAGGATCTATAGATAATAGAGAACTGAAAAAAATTGATCAAAAATACTTTTAAACTCTGGACCCAGATGAGATTTACAGGTTATCTGAACATCCATTTTTTTTCTTTCCCCTACATCTTCCCCAGTTGAAGTGAAAATTGTATAGTTTTAAGGGCACCTGGGTAGCTCAGTTAGTTAAGCATCCAACTTCAGCTCAGGTCATAATCTCACCATTTGTGAGTTCAAGCCCTACATCGGGCTCTGTGCTGACACCTTGGAGCCTGCTTCACATTCTGTGTCTCCCCCTCTCTCTGCTCCTTACCTGCTCATACTCTGTTTCTCTCTCTCTTAAAAATAAATAAACATTAAAAAAATTTTTTTAAGTTGTATAGTTTTAGTTGGGGCATCTGGGTGGTTCATTTGGTTAACCTCCTGACTCTTAGTTTCGACTCAGGTAATGATCTTGCGGTTTGTGAGTTCACGCTCCACATTGGGCTCTGTGCTGACAGTGCAGAGCCTGTTTGGCATTCTCTCTCTCAAATAAATAAAATAATTGTATTAGTAAATGTATATTTTAACTAAATGAGATTAAAGAATAAATGTTGAATATGCTTTTCTCAGGAATAAATTTGAATTGTTGACCAAGTATCATTGGCTCTTTACTAAAGGTGTATTTTAACAATATCTGACGTAATTATTTTCCTTCTTAATACATACCATTCTGTTTAGTTTTTTATATTTTTTTCATTATAATATTCCCCAAGTCAGCTTTAGTAATCTGCAGTATTGGCAGATAAAATACACACTGTTCTCTATAGAATTTGTAAACTCACTGAATAACGTATAAGCAAGAGGTATCACAAGATTTGGATTTGGAATTATCTAAAGATAGTGTATATATTGTCAGCAATTTTCATAATTAGTACTTGTAAGAGATTTAAAAATGAAATCCTGTAATTGAAAAAAATATGTGTATTTTATACATTTCACAGGTTCCAACATAATGTGTTTTCCTTTTATGCTAAAAAAAATTGAATAATTTGTATTTAGCTTATAACCTTTGATGTTCTTGGTATTTTTTAAATAACTTAATGCTGTTGATATTTTTGGCATAAACTATGACTCATTTGAACCCTGTGGATTGTTCTAGAGCATGTTACTATAGTATAACTCTATCCTATAATTTAGTTATCCTATAATTTAATTTAGTCCTTTGAAAACAGGGTTTTTTTTTAGTTCTTGAAAACAGTATTTGCTATAGAACATTCTAGACTTCATCTAGAGGATTTAGTTATAAGAGTATCTGCAAAATTTTTTAAATAAAGATATGTGACACATGAGGGTCCTAAAGACAGGATTTATCTATATTTTATTATTTTTTTAAGATGTCAAGAGGAATAATTATAGTTAGAAGTTGGATTATATACCTATTATGAAGAACTTCACAAAAGGAATTGAAAAGTACATTTTATATTGCATATAGTGTGGATGAAATTACAAAGGGTATACATAGAGATTCTCGTGTTTAGATTTTTATTTTTGTATTTTTATTTATAAAGTTTGAAAGTCATTTAAAGAAACACATTGCTGGGGTGCCTGGGTGGCCCAGTTGCTAAGCATCCAATTCTTTTTTTTTTTTTTTTCTTTTAATGTTTGTTTATTTTTTGAGAGAGAGCACAAGCAGTGGAGGGGCAGAGAGAGAAGACACAGAATCTGAAGCTGGCTCCAGGCTCTGAGCTGTCAACACAGAGCCTGATATGGAGCCGGAACTCATGAACCACGAGATCATGACCTGAACTGAAGGTGGCCACTTAACCGACTGCGCCAACCAGGTGCCCCAGAATCCAACTCTTAATTTTGGCTCAGGTCATGGTCTCACGGTTTGTGAGTTTGAGAGAGCCTCAGGCTCTCTTTTGACAGTGCAGAGTCTGCTTAGGATTCTTTCTCTCCCTCTCTCTCTGTCCCTTCCCTGCTTGCACTCTCTCCTGTCTCCCTCTCTCTCTCTCTCTCTCTCTCTGCTTCACCCTCTCTCTCTCTCTCAAAAAATAAACTAAAAAAAAAAAAAAAAAAAACGCATTGCTTATGAATGGCTCTTGTTTACTTGTGCACTTGTTTACTTATATGAAATCAATATAAAATTCCAGAATTTTTGAATTGTAAATGATCTAGATTATTCTTAAAAAAATTTTTTTTAATATTTATGTATTATTGAGAGAGACAGCATGCAAGCAGGGGAAAGACATAGAAAGAGGGAGTCACAGAATTTGAAGCAGGCTCCAGACGCTGAGCTGTCAGCACAGAACCAATGCAGGGCTCAAACCCACGAACCGTGAGATCATGACCCGAGTCAAAGTCGGACACTTAACTGACTGAGCCACCCAGGTCCCCCGATCTTTTAGACTACTCTAATAATACCATCAGCTTATTTTTATACATGAAGAAACTGGGAGAGAGCATTTTTTGATGAATGGGTAGCTGGGTTTATACTCATAAAATCTTTTTCCTCTGTCTGCATCTCTGTACTTCTCTTTCTGTCCCTTTCTATATTTCTCTCTGTCTTTTTCACTAGTTCACTCTCAGAGAAAGCTACTGGATTTGATATGCTTAAGATAATAGATAATAACATTTTTTTTTTCCATTTCTGTCCTCTTAGTACTTGAGGACATATGCATATATATTGATGTTTGCATTTATAGACATGGTGCTCAAAGAAAAGAATCATTGATGACTTAATTATGGATCTCATTTTAAATGATGTGTGACAGTCAGTTTCAAAATTGGGGGGTGAGGACAAATAGGATGGACGTATAGAAGAAACAGGATTCGCCATGAGTTGAGTTGATAGTCACTGAAAATAGATGGCACAGAGAGTTCATTATACTGTTTTTTCCAGTTTTTAATATATTTGAAATTTTTCATTCTAAATGTTTACAAAAGAGAATTGCACTTTTTAAACCAATAAGTGGCACTACATTGTCACCTTGAGAATAGGTTGATGCAGGATGAGTATATTAGCTTATGATCTGCTGTCTTATTAAAAGTTTTCTTTTTCTCTTTGCAAGTAAAAGCACATCATAGGAATATGCAAAAACATAAATCTCTGATGCTTTAGGATTCTGTTTGTATCCCCCATCTCACAGTGCTGACTTCTGGTTTCCAAAGAGAAGACTGTTGTGTTGTGCCTTCTAGTAAGCAGCAAAACAGATGTACATGAAGAGTGAACATCCACTTCTCCTGAACATATTAGCCTTCAGTGAGCTGGCAGTGTTTCTCTCCGCCTAAATTAGGATTTGTATTTCTTGGTAAAAGCATAAATACCCATTATTTCACCAGCTGTGCATCACCACCAATTGCCACATGATTCCAGTGTCAATCCCGATGACTCCCTCTGTCCTAGTATGTGAGCATTCAAGCTCATTCCTTATCTGCCGCCTGCATCCAAATTACAAGGTCTTGGAATTGATGTGTTTTTTTCTATGAAGTAATCCTTTTCTGTGCAGTTAAATATTTATAAGAGGTAGACCAGAGGATGACCAAAACTGAGCCGAAGGCAGCCTGTTCACTCAGTGTTCTATAAATTTTATGTTCTATTTCTTAGAAAGAAACATTTTGATTAATTTGAAGAGAGAGCGCACGTGCACGTGCACATGCACGACAGTTTTTTTTTTTTCCCCTTACATCCCGGGAGACTGATTATTTTTTTTTTTAGGACAGGTGCAGTTCCTGATAAGAGTTTCTTTAATTTCAGGTGTTAATTTCATGAACCAGACTAGTTTTGTTTGCATCCTTGTTCTGGTTACTAGGGCCTTTATATTCTAAGTTCAAACTAGGGAAAAAAATCAGCTTTAGTATGGTTGTTCTGTGAACCCTAGTGGTCATAGGAGTCACCTGAAATAATTGTTAAACTTGCTGTTGCAGAGCCACATACCAGCAGACTCTGA